CTAAACTTTGATCAGAAATAATCATAAAATTATTAATCCAAATCATTAAAATCTAGGATAAAAGTCAAAATTGATGCTGAATATCTCAAACTTTCAAGATTAATTATATTAGAATCTTTGAATGCTTTATATATTATTTTATGATCAATTGTTTTATTGGAAAATTTCTAAAAACATATATTATTTTTAAATTTTAAAAATTAAAATTTTTTATAGTTAAGTTCTAATAAATATTAACTTAAAAAAATTTGAAATTCTTTTGAAGTACTATATACCCTAAACCTACTATAAATTCATTAAGAGTATTTAAAAATATTACATTTCTTGAATTATTATTTATATAAGAATATTACTTATAATTTGATCAATGTTGGCTTGACCAGACCAGTTTGACCATTGGACCAGACAAATTTGACCAATTTGACCAATTTGACCAGTCTGGTCAAAGAATCTATACTGATCAAATTGGTCAAAAAGTATATTTAAATATAATTTATTATATAATATATATACAGTACACCCTCTCAAATCTGATATGCATGGGCTTTTGTATCAGTTTTGGGAGGTTATCAGATTTAAAAATTGATTATGGCCTGCTGTTACATGATCACTAATAAATTTAATTGGCTGGATTATATTTATTTAAATATAATTTATTATATAATATATATACAGTACACCCTCTCAAATCTGATATGCATGGTGGACAGCTTTTGTATCAGTTTTGGGAGGTTATCAGATTTAAAAATTGATTATGGTCTGCTGTCACATGATCACAAATAAATTTAATTGGCTGGATTATATTTCTTATATATATAATCTGTTGCACAATACCTGATTTTAGCCAATCAAATCGATTCATATTACCTGTCAAAACCGATATCTTATAGATATCTGGTCTTTTGGGTATCGGTTATCAGAAAAGGCAGATTATTGGGTTTTAATTATGGAACAGACATGGTGGATCAATTTTTTATCAGTCATAGCAGGTTATCGGTTTTGACAGGATCGGTTTTGAGAGGGTGTACTGTATTATATTTATATAATTGATTTGACCAATTTGACCAGTAAATTTTTGGTCGACAACTAATTTGCCCAACACTGAATTTGATATACAAATTGTGAAAAAGCAATAATATTTTTTGTATTTGAGAAAATTTTTTAAATTTCTTCTAAACCGTCTTCTTCTAGTAGACGTTTTTCATTCTTATAAATAAAATAAATAATTTTGTACATTAATAAATACAAAACCAAATTAAAAATAATTTACTATGATGGATAGAAAATATCAAAATTTTTATTTGAAAAAAAGCTGAAAGTTGCATTACTAACGAGGATATCCATTATAACTCTTAAAGAAAACCAAAATATTAAGAATCATTAAAATTATTTATTTGACTAATTGTGAAAAAAATATTGAATTCTGTGAAATAGGGTTTTATGATATGAGTGTCGCCAAAAGAAAACCCGACAATTTAAATATAGACTATATATTGTCGGGTTTTCTTTTGGCCACACTCGTATATGAAATTTTTTTTCTTCGACAGCAGTAATATTTATATTCTACATATAATATAACAGATTGAATAATTGTTAAGAATGCATAATTCAATTCGTGTCGGTTAAGGATAAATATCTTTTTTAAGAAGTGCATTTAAAATAGCTATTTGAGTCCGTAAATTTTACCATTAAAATCCGCCTCGTTTAATTTAGCTTTGATTATATTTAAATTAAATATTACTATATAATGCTACACGCTAATTTTTATTTTACTGTATATTCGCGTTAATTTAGGTTGTTGAGATAATATTAATAAAATTATTGTGGGGTTGCAAAAAGGTGTAACCTCTGCAAATCATGATGTCATGTAAAATCAAAGAAAATGTAAATGCGTTAGAAAATATGACTAATCAATAGAAAATCTAAAATCTTGGAAATTTTCATCTATCATCATACAAAAATCATGGGTCTCACCTTTTTACAAATCGCAAGGCTAAGCGTTTATCAGAAAATTATTATCAATGTTGGTCGGAATTTTGTAATAAAAATTAGGAGATTTAGTTCAGAATATATTTAGTGTAAGCTATTTTTCTTTTTTAAGAAACAATTAGCCGGTTGATTACTATATTTAACTTTATTTTATTCGTGTTAATTGAGTATAAAGATCCTTCTCGATCTCTTAAATATGCTATTTAAGTTCGTGAATCTTTTACATTCTGCCTCTTATTTATTTTAGTTGGAAATCCAAAAACTTTAATATATAAAATAACTATAATTGCATAATTCCACTCATTTTTTATTTTATTCGTGTTGATTTATATGAATTTCGAAACAATGGGAAGTGGTACAGTAAATGGTTACCATTTACTTTATGTTGTTTTTTAACTCCTAGCCAACACAAACCTCAGACTTAGATAAATTGACCAACTTAATAAGTACAAATCTCAATCACAAAATCACAATCACTATTAAACAAAAAAAAAACAATATGATATTCATAGGGTTACAAATCGCGATAAAACTCCTGCACACCTATCTGCCTTAAATAAATCACTCCCTAACTAATTACATTATCCCCTCACTCCAGAATTTCACATACAACATACCTAGTCTATTACTCTACCATATCCCTCAGCCCATAGATACAGACTAGTACTATCAACTACTGAATCGTTAGATAAGTTATCGCCTTAGTCAACCAAGTCATTAAGGGACTAGTTCAGGGTATTATTAATTGAATAGTTAGAGTATGGCCTGTTACTACTTTGTTGATAATAATGATCAATACTGCAATAAACAAATTACTCAATAAAAATCTTTAAGAGACAATAACTGAATAACGATCAATAATTCTTAGTCCGACGACCAAGTCGACTTGGTCAATCAGGGAGCAGTTAAGTCGACTAAGTCAATTAGCCCCTAATATGCACGATATCCATTGCCCCTAAATTTACCTGATGTTAATAAATCACCGTAAAAAAGGATATTCAACATAATTGTATATCATCACTTGGGGTCATCTGATCGAAATAATGATAGTATCGTAACGTCATTTCGTTGATAAGTTTATCAGTTTTAAATAATTATAAAATCAGTCCAAAATAGAGAAACTTTTTTCAAGCTTTCAAAATAGTACAAACGCACACGTAAATTTATTCGAAATTACTACGTACATCATTTCCACCATATTTACCTGACACACTGACACAGTAAATTCAAATATTCCATACAAGACAATAATATTCTTGAAAATATGAATATGAGAAAGGAAGCACGTCAATATTTTAAGCAAGGCAAATTTTTCGAGGCGTTAGAACTTTATGAAAAAATCATAGAAAACCATTTGTATAATGTGGAAGACCTGGAAATTGCTTCAACTTGGTATCTTAGTGGAAATTGCGGATTGGAAAAGTTAAGCGATTTAATAAAGGTACTTCGTAAGAACTCTACGGTGACTTCTTTGGACCTTTGTTTTAATAATCTTGGATCAGAAGGTGGAAAAGCATTAGCAAATGCACTTTACGAAAACACCACGTTGACTTCTTTAAGACTTAGAGAAAATGGAATTGGATCAGAAGGAGGAGAAGCGTTTGCAAATTTACTTTGCAAGAACAACACGTTAACTTCTTTGGAGCTTGCATTTAATAATCTTGGATCAAGAGAAGGAAAAGCATTAGCTGATGCACTTTACAAGAACATCACGCTAAAAGATTTGGATCTTTGGCATAATAACCTTGGACCGCAAGGAGTAAAGGCATTAGCAAATGCACTTTGCAAGAACGTTACGCTAACTTCTTTAAGCCTTGGGCATAATAATATTGGTCCGGAAGGAGGGATAGCATTAGCAAATGCACTTTGTAAGAACACCGCACTGACCTCTTTAGATCTTAATAATAATAATCTTGGATCAATAGAAGGAAGTGCACTGGCAAATGCTCTTCGCAATAATACCACGTTGACCTCTTTGAATCTTTCTGATAATAATATTGGATCAGAAGGTGGAAAAGCATTAGCAATTGCACTTTGCGAGAACAATTCATTGATTTCTTTGGATATTAATGGAAATGGACTTGGATTAAAAGAAGGCAAAGCATTAGAAAATGCACTTCGTAAGAACACCACGCTGACTTCTTTACATCTTGATGATAATAATCTTGGATCAGAAGGAGTAGAAGCATTGGCAAACGCACTTTGCGACAATACCACACTAACTTCTTTGGAAATTGCTGGGAATAACCTTGGATCAGAAGGAGTAAAAGAGTTAGCAAATGCACTTTGCAATAATATCACATTGACTTCTTTACGTCTTAACGAAAATCAATTTGGATCAGAAGGAGCAAAAGCATTAGCAAATGCACTTTGCAAGAACACCACGTTAACTCTTTTGGATCTTTGCGAATGTGGAATTGGATCAGAAGGAGGAAGAGCATTAGCGAATGCACTTTGCATGAACAATATTCTAGAAGTTTTGGAACTTAGTTTTAATAGTCTTGGACCAGAAGTAGGAAAAGCATTAGCAGATGCACTTTGCGAGAACGATACGTTAAAAGATTTGAGTCTCCAGAGGACTAAGCTTGGATCAAAAGCAGGAGAATTATTAGCAAATGCTCTTTGCAAAAACGTCTCGCTGACTTCTTTAAATCTTGATGATAATAATCTTGGATCAGAAGGTGGAAAAGTATTAGCAGATGCACTTTACAAGAACACCACGCTGACTGAATTGAGACTTGATGACAATGATCTTGGACCAGAAGGGGGAAAAGCATTAGTGGATGCACTTTGCAATAATATCACGCTAACTTTTTTAAGCTTTGGGAATAATAATATTGGATCAGAAGGCGAAAAAGCGTTGAAAGATGCACTTTACAAAAAAGATTATATTGAATTTCCGATTTTTTGATTAGAATTCACTAGTTGGTTCAGAGGAAGCAAAAGCATTTGCAAATACATTATATAAGAACAATACTCTGGAAAAATTTTGAACCTTATTGATCATAATACTAATAAAATGGCGGCGTTTTAGGCTGACGCCTTCTTTTAAGTTCTGAAATGTCCTTAAATTTTCGAACTTTAATAAGATCGTAAAATCTTAACCTGCTTTCTCTATAAATTTTGTCATTAAATCATAATCTATAAAAAAGATTCATACGAATTCTTGAACTCTTTATAAGCGTAAGCTACAATATAAGACCCATAGTAAGTTTCTAAATTCAAGATTTATTATAATTGATAACGCAATTTAAAAATTATACCTTTAATGTTTCGGGTGAAATTGAAATATTTCACGATTCCGAAAATCAATGCGATACTAGTTTCGCCCAGTATGCAAGTTTCATAGATTTTTAACAAATTCCATAATTGCCAATAATTTAGACTCAAAAATCGAAAAATCAAACCTATTAATATTTTATATGATCTCATTATACTGTAATACGCATAATTAGTTGCGTAAGATTTTTTATTTCGGAGCTTATTAAATACAGAATATTTCGGAAATAAAACATTTTGCCCGAAACAAAGACATAAACTAAATTATATTGTATTGCTTAACTTTTGGTTGATATGAATGATGCTAAGGAGAAGCCTGTATGTCATATTTTTTGAATATTTGCTTTTAATAAAATTGTGCACTAATTATTTCATACTGTCTCATTAGGAAGATTCAAATGGGACTTTATATCGCATAGTTTCCAAAGAGCCGTTATACCTAGTAAAAGGTATGCAAGTTGATAACAACTTATATAACGAATTGAGAAATGGAAAAGTGCAACGGAAATATGAATCGAACGACTCACGTGATCATGTGATCGATCGGGGTCGTGGTGGTAAATCGAGGTGTGGGGCGGCATAAGTAAGAGCGGGTCAGGGACCCGAAAATATTGTGAAAAGATTAGAAAACAATAAATCACAATTTTTATAGAATATCACATTATAAAACAATTTTTGCTCTTATTTATGCATGGTATAAAAATTCGCAAATTTCATATGGGCTGATCGGACTCATTTGGTGTGATATAAAATTGTGATATCTGCATTGTTACACTAATCCGATGATCATACGTAATGTACGTAATGTCTTTGTCCAAACCTTTTTTATGTCTTTTGTGCTCTAAAACCTATTCGACAAAAGGTTCTTTACTATCTCACGAAGCAAGAAAGCACCCACACAATCGTACTGTGCCTCATAGTTCTTGTTTTGAACTTTCTTCAAGTTGGTGTCTGTGTCAGTTTCGCTCAATCTTCCTTGCAAATGTAAAGTCTCGTCTACATACCCACCGGTCAGCACAAGGCTTCAAACAATTCACCGTGCACTGTCCTGAAAACCTTTTTTATTACGTGTTTCACCAAGAACCAG